AAAAAGAAACAACCTAAAAATAAAAGTAGCTAAAGCTGCCCCTCAGATTCAACCTTTGATTCAAAAAGAGAAAAAAGCTAACAGTACTGTAACTAGGAAATACTCCACACTGGAGCTGTTAAAACTAGGAAAGACAAACAAGTGATCAGAGAGCCCCCTCACCATGTGACTCTTGAGGGTGCAGGACAGGAGAGCAAATAATGCCAGTCTAAGTCCTTCAGAAGCATCACAACTGAGTTATATAACTACCCATCCATCCTTGCGACATGGGCTGTTCAACCTAGGCCAATGCAGGAGGCGGGAGTGGGGAGAAATCAGTCCTTAATTGGATGGCTGGTGCAAGGCATTAAAGATACATGGTCATCACCAAGGGAGACTCCCATGATTAGCAGGGGCTGGAGGACTACAGAGGAGTGACAGGCATTACTGATAGAACCAGGTATGAGAAAAGCAATATATGCTACCCAGTTTACTGAGCCAGATAAAACTGTGGTCACCAGAGATATAAAAGACAACTTAATTCAACTGGGACCTTGAGAATGGTTTAGAGCTTTTAATGGTTTCGCTAAGTCCTTTAATGGGACAGGATCTTTGTAAAGTGAGAGAGGCTTTAGCAGATCTAAGTGACTGACCAGCATGTAAAACATGTCTGTAGAATAACAGACCACCCAACAAGAGCTATAAAAGGGATGAGACAGAAGAAATGGTCTGTTTGAGTTACTTGAAGACAAATGTGACAAGATTTATGTTGAGCCCAAATTCCCAAAGAAAAAATTGATAGAAAACCAAATTCTGTACTAAGGAGTTTCTGGAAGGGTTTAAAACCAGAAGAACAGTTTGCAAAAGGCATTCAAAGGACAAAAACTGTCCCAGGGGTGGTTAAGAATCCCCAAAGCTTAAATAAGTTGCATTTCTCTCCTGAGAAAGGCTATGCTAGGAATGGAGGCAGTTTTCCCTACCAAGGCTTCCCCCCAGCAGCCAGGTATGGTCAATGGAGAGATGACAGATATGACTGCAGCCAGGAAGCAGACCCAGGGCCTGTCTGACTCAGGGAACCAACAGGTACAGCCAGGGAGAAGAGAAACTCACTGCCTCCTTAGCCCAGTTCAGGGTCAGGTAACTGGAGCCAGCACCTATAAGTATATCAAGGATAAAAGAATACAAAGAGACTCCATGTAAGATCCCCAGAATGCAGAATGACCACAAAGTGATAACTAAAGATAATAAAGAACTAACCAAATTAATGCCTCTTACCAATGGTATGGTACCTAACAAAAAGCAATTAATATGAATAGATAAAACCTTTCCATGCTGTTTTAGGCCCTATCTATGATTGATTTAATATATGATGTTAACCTTTGAATGTTTTACAGATGTGAAACCCATTTGAAGATACCTGAAGAAACAAAGGCTAGCTATATCTGTAAGATTCCTGGGAGTTTTATGGTTGGGTAAGATAAAAACAGAGGCTCCCAAAACTATAGAACTATTAAGAAAAACTACAGTACCAGGGGTGGGTTGCCTCCCTAGTAGCTATTGGTCAGAGAGAGATCCTAGAGGTCCTCAGATTCAACAAGGCTATTGCCACTAATGTTAGTTGTACACTAGAAAAGTTGGTAAGGCCATGTTGCTAATGACACTGCATGATGTGAGCTTGGGAGAAGAAAAGATGGAGCTGAAACTAAGACAAAAACTCTATGCCACTGGATGGATGGCTTTCATAGGGCCAGAAAGTGCTATGAAGATGGTTGGGGAAGAAAGAATCCCCTATGATTCTACTTGACAATGGACCACGAGTGCTGCACACTATGGACATGCTAAGCAATGCCTGCTAGTGCAATAATGATTTGATTAACATAAGTACAACTGACAAATTTCTAATTGGATAAGGCCCACCCCTAGTACTGTAGACCAGGCCAACCTCCTGTGTCAGGGAAGGCTCCAGGCTCCAGTGGGGAAGTTCTTGCAAGTATACTGTTTAATGAATATGGTACACCTACTCAGATATCTTCTAGGTATTTGCATTTATATTCATGCTTGTTTAGATGTGTCTACTTCCATCTATTTGTCTGTGTAGTAGGGGAAAACATCACTAAGATAGATCAGCAGCCATGTCTTGAAGATGAATGATGGGAGAGGCCCAAGAGATCACTAGCTCACCATGATACAAGAGATATCATCCTGCATCTGTCACCCCCTCCAAGACTCAGGGACCCTTGCAGAAGACTGGCAGAAAGATTGTAAGAGCCGGAGGAAGGGGTGGACTGTTGGGTAAATTTGTCCTCTGAGGAAATGAGGGGGTAGTTCTAGAGACCCAGAGAGAAGTGGAGCACACTGGGAAAAAGGAAGAGGAGTTGGTGCCATTTTGGGAGCAGTGAACAGCAGGTGGGCAGGTGAGCCTGCCTGCTGTGGACCCCATGGGGCACTGTGGACCCCGGGAGGCGCCGTGGACCCTGAGTGGTGCTGTGGGCCTTGTGAGGACCCTGTGGACCCTGCATGGACCACAAGGAGCAAGATGATGCATGAACAGCTGGCAAACTTCAGGCAGGGCATGATGAGGATCTCAAAGCTTAGTCAAAATATAAGAAATAGACTATGGAAGCTTATGCTTTATAAGTCACCCTTTCCTGGAATATCATATAAACCATGCTAAAACCCAAATAAAAGACATTCTGTCAGTTTGTTAGCCCTTGGGCCTCAGAGGGTGTGGACGGGGGTCCCTCAAGAAGCGAGAGGGGAAAATTTAGTGTAACACTTGTTTTCTACTTCCTCTGTTCCCAATCACTACTTATTGATTTACAAAAATAGTATCAGAAATAGATGCCGTTTATTCCATTGTTTGGTGTTCCAGTTCATCCTCTTTCACTCACACATGTGAATCACACTAAATGATGATTTGCTGTTTTGTAATATGTGTAGCAAGACCCCACCACTGCAATTTAGCCATGTAGTTCTACTTAGTGGCAGTACAGAGAAATTATTGACTAATGTTATCATAGATAACAAAAAATCTTTTTAGTCTTCCAGCAGAATACTATTATTTAACAATATCATATGAGGTAAATTATGAAAATGAGATGTTCAAAGCAAGGATACTTTTTAAAAAAGAAGTAATCTGACAGTCACAGGAACGTATATCCAGAAAGAATGTGATTGAGATGCTGTGTATGAAGTCTTTGAGCCTGATTTTTTTCTCAAGCTATCTTTGAGAGCCTTAAATAAATTTGCAATAGGACCCAGGCTGAGAATTATGATCAGATAATTTAAATGAGAAATTAATTTCTTCTAAATAATGCTAAACATTATCATGTACTTCTCTAGTCTAGTCACACAAATGACTTCAGGTATAGCTCAGCGATTTGCCACAGGCAGGAACTGAGGCTACTACATACAATCAACTGTTGAATCAATGAGGATCCTCCAGTACTCACAGCAGAGATGCAAAGATTAAATGCCTTGAGCAAACTGCTTATGTTTAGTCAGAGTTTGAAAAGAAATTTCAATAGTTTTTTTTGAAGTATAATAAATATTTTATAAATTGAACTTAAAGTGCTCAAACTCATTAGATGTACTCATTCTTGAATTCATCATCATCACTAATATAATAAATATATTGGTTACCCCTCCAATCTCCTTTATGCCCCTTTATGTCCATGTTTCCTACCTCTTTTTGCCCACTCCCCATCCTTCCTCCCCAGCTCCCAATCAGTCGCTGATGGCTCTCTATCATTATATAATAGTTTGTGTTTTCTAAAATGTATGTGAAGATGATTGTACATTGTACATTTTTTCTGGCTTATTTTACTCAGCTTATTTTGAAATTCATGTGTGTTATAGTGAATATCAATAGTTCAGTTCTTTTCACTGTTAAATAGTGTTCCAAGGAATGAATATACCACACTTCTTCTGTTCAGTGACTGATGAACATAGGACCTGAGTTCACCAATGGGCCGTAACAAGTGCTATGAAGAAGTTTTTGTACAGATGCTCTCATTTCTTTCAGGAATGTATATAGGATTATATGATAAAATATACATTTATTTTTGTACAAAGCTGTCAAACTGTTTTCCAAATGTTTGCATACTCATGAGAAGGATATGAGAAACAGTTCTTCTGTACCTTTATCACAATTGGGTACACTATTGGTCCTAAGTTTCAACAGTCTAATTACTATATAGTTACAGCTCATGCCATTTTTCTTTTGAAATTGGTAAAGTACATGGATTGGATGGTTTCTTTAATTACACTGACTTTATTACTGTATTTTTGCATTTTCTCATTGGTCATGATGCATTGTCCTTTTATATTATATATTGTTAAATAAAACTTGCCAAAAGTGTTGTTTAGAATATTTGTGTCTATATTTATAAAGACATTAGTCTGTAGCTTATATATTGTTTTAATAATCTTTTTTATCTTTAAATTAATATTTAATGCAGTAATCCATAGCCTTTTATTTTTCCAGCCTAGTTATGAGACAACTAATAAAAGAGCAAGACATAAGAAATAATGTTCAAATCACAATATATTTCCCTATCAATGTAAAATGTTCCTAATGTGGAGTACTGGATTTTTAGGATAATGTTTTTCCTGATAAATCTTATGCAAACATGTTGCCACAAAACACATCTGTACTAATCAAGTCAAGGCATCTCTGCTCCAACCTACTGGCTACAATGTGCTCTTAATTTATAAGTGTAGTCCTCCATATGATATAGAATTTTATAGATACCATATAAATACTCAAGAGAAAGACAGAGAAGTGCCTTTTTCCCATATGACAATCTCAACTATTGATGTTAAAACATATGAAAAATTTCCATAATATATCGTTGTGTTTTATTTCAAGCTTTTATTTCAACATACATGTGTAGGGCCTTCATGGGTCGTGGAGCAAGTGGTTTATAAATAAAATCAGTCTGTAACAGTGTAAGAGACAGTATTCATCGGTTCTTTCATTTGTGTAAAATCTCTCACATCTTGGAGGTCTGTGGTTGGAACTACTCTTGTAGACTTGAGACATATCTTGCTCCAATTAATAATGTCATGCTACCCACTATAAAAAAGCCCAAGGGCAGACAGGAGAAGACAGCACTGTCCTTTCTTTCAGGAACCTGGGAAGTCACCCAACCCATTGACTTCATCACTGCTTTCTTCCATGTTGAATAACGGATTTCACTTTCTGTGGCTTGGATTTGTGGTTCATACCGCTCGGTTAAGGTAGCTGACAAATCATCAAGATCAAGACTCCAAACCTCTATTTCTTCTGCAGCCCCAGCTGCCATGGCAACTCCTAGTGCTGTTGTTTCAGGCATTACAGACTTCACTACTGGAATATGCAGGATATCTGCCTGTAGTTGCATAAGAATTTTGCTGTTGGTCATTTCTCCATCTACCTGCAAATGACTGAGTGGAATCCCACAGTCACGGTTCATGGCATCCAGAATCTCCCGGGTTTGGAAACAAACAGCTTCTAATGCAGCAAAGGCAATATGACATTTATTGGTGAACTGAGTGAGACCACAGATAATTCCTCTTGCGCTGGGTTCCCAATAAGGTGCATATAACCCTGAAAAGGCTGGGACAAAGTAACAGCCATAAGAAGTACCCACTTCTTTAGCAAGTGTTTCGATTTCATCTGACTTTGATATAATTTCAAAATTGTCTCTAAGCCAGCAAATAACAGCACCCGCTATAGCGACGGAACCTTCTAATGCATAACATGCCGGCTTGTTTTTGCCTAGTTTGTAAGCCACTGTGGTCAGAAGACCATGCTCAGAAAATACACGTTTATGGCCTGTATTACATAGTAAGAAACAACCTGTTCCATATGTGTTTTTGGCTTGACCTTCCTGGAAGCACATCTGTCCTACCAATGCAGCAGACTGGTCTCCCAAACACCCAGATATCGGCACACCTTCCAGGGTCCCTGCTTTCAGGAGACCATAGATCTCAGAAGAGCTGCACACGTTTGGAAGAATGTTCATTGGAATTTCAAAAAAGTCGCAGAGCTCTTTATCCCATTCCAAAGAGTGGATGTTGAAGAGCATTGTTCTGCTAGCATTTGTTACGTCCGTACAGTGGACACCTCCATTGATGCCTCCTGTCATACTCCAGATAAGCCAGGAATCGATGGTCCCGAAAAGAGCCCTGCCTTCTTCAACGGCCCTTTGAACGGTTCTTAAGTTGTCAAGCATCCATCGCAGTTTCACTGCACTGAAGTAGGTGCTGAGGGGAAGGCCAGTCTTAGACTTTACAAAGTTACTATTTCCCGGGATTTTCCTACTGAGAACCTCCACGGTAGATTGGGTTCTGAGATCAAGCCACACCATGGCATTGTAGAGAGGGTCCCCTGTGAACTTGTCCCAGACCACGGTGGTTTCCCTCTGGTTGCTGACACCAATAGCTTTGATGTTGGAAATATCAATATTCATTTCAGTAAGTTTCTCACAGGTTCTCTCTATACATTCATAGACAGATTGAAGAATTTCCTTGGCGTCTTGTTCCACCCATCCTTCTTTTGGAAACTCTTGTGTTAATTCGACTTGATGATGACAAAGTAGTTCTGCTGTTTTTGAGTTGAAAACCAGAAAGCGAGTGGAGTTGGTGCCCTGGACCACCGCTCCCACCAACGGCCCCACAGAGGCTGGCTTTGAGGCTGCCATGAAACCCCGTGGCTGCAGCAGTCTAAGACTGTTTCCCTGGTGATGGCCAGTAGGGTGAAGGGATGTAGCACAGCAAGAACGCTGGGATGCGCAGGCGCAGCTGCCGGGCCATGTAGCTTCCGGTAACCTTGCCCTGGGACTCAGTCCCTTTGAGGAAGCCCCGCCTCCATTCACTTCTTGCTACTTCAAGTGATCTAAGTAAAAACATTCAGTGTATTTCTCTATGTGATGACAGCGGCCGGGCTTCTCTGGTCTTCTCTTCCCAGATTTCGGTTCTGCTGTAGCTACTTCATGTTTTGCGTTTTGTTTTACTCTGGCTACCTGTAGAGGTTTTTGTTTGTTTGTTTGTTTTTTAATGGACCACTTTCATTTTATTCGAATGTGCCTTGCTAGATTTTTTTTTTCTCCCTTCTGTGCTTGGTGTTAATTGTGTTACTTAAATCTGAAGGTTTACAACTTTCTACAAGCTTGGAAAATTCTGGCCATTATTTCTTCAAATATTTTATTCTCTCTTCTCTGTTTTATAAAGTTTCAAATGTCACACAATAAACTTATAAGGTCACTGGCGTTTTACTAATTATAATTATCTTTTTTGTATTTAAAATTTCAGTTTATGATGGCTCTATCTTCAAGCCTGCTAACCTTCAATATCTAATGATACTCTTAATACATCTAGTGTATTTTTCCACTTCACATGTAGTTTTCATTCCTAGAAGTTCAATTGAAATCTTTTACCTATCTACTGAACTTTTATTTTTTTGAACATATGGAGTATAGTTAAAATAACTTTTAATTTCAGTTTTTGCTCTTACTAACATCTGTGTCAATTTCTGTTCAATTTTGATTGGATTAACTTATTATGACTTGTATCTCCCTGTTCTTTTTAATGTCTGAAGATTTTTTAATATTTATTTTTAATTATATATGCATATGTATGTCTGTTAGTATGTGCATGTGAGTGCTGGTGCTTGGGGAGGTCAAAAGAGGGCATTAGACCTCCTGGAGCTGGAGTTAGAGGCAGTTGTGAGCTGCCTGACATAGGTACTGGGAACTGAACTCAGGTCCTCTGCAAGAGTAGTACTTGCCTCTTAACCACTGAGCTATGTCTCTAGCCTCTGATAATTTCAAATTAAATGTCAGATATCGTGAATTCTGCTTGCTTGGCTACTGGGTACATTTCTATTTCCACTAATCTTCTAAAGTTTTGTTCTGAGATGTAGATAAGTTACTTGGTAATAGGCTGCCTCTTTCTGCTTTTACTTAAAATTATTCTTTGGTAATTTCATAATGTACACAATGTATTTATATCATATCCATCCTCTGCTCTTCGAGCTACAATAATGACCAGTCTGGGAAGAGATGCACTTTGGTGCAATAGTGACATGAATGTTACAGGAGTAGCCAACAGCTTCCTAATTGGATTTAAGAGCTACTTACTCCACAGGAGAGAACTCATACCTGGTACTGTAAAGCTGGCCAAACACCCATGGCTGGGGAGATTATAGGCCCTAAGGGAGAATCTGGTACTGTTATTTAGCTAAGTTAGTGTAGTATCAAACTGTCTTCTAAATCCCTACCCTTATACCTATAGATATTGCAGCTCTCATCTCTCATTAGGCAAGCACCTTTATTTTTGCAGTAGATGGTGACTAATACAGAGAGTCATAACTAGTCAAAGTCGAATAAGAGAATAAGTGACTGTGGCATGATGGATTCTAAACAGGACTATACCCCAATTTCTCCAAGGCTCAGGAAACATCATGGAGGAGGGGCTAGAAATGTTGTAAGAGCCAGTAGACAGGGGTCACTGCTGCAGAATAGTGTCTTTCGGGCATGACAGGGCCATTACACTCTTGAACTCACAGCACTGTGCTTGCCTGCACTGACATGCACAAGAGCAAGCCAGTAACACTCTGGTGTGACTTTTAAGATGTGTTAGGTGAAATAATGACCATACTGTCCATGGCTAATTATTCTCCTTAATGTGAAGTGATTTTTTTTCTGTGTACTTTATCCAGTGTCCATGGAAAATGGTGTTATTGTGGCTGATGGGAATAGTCACAGTACCCAGTCCTCAGCTGAGATGGGCAGAGTCAGCTCTTTTATTCCATTTCTGCCAGAGTGAAAAATCCACTGAACGGAGACTTAAAAGTTTACATTAGTTGTGAAATTGGTAAGTCTGTAATTATTTAATCAGTAGTTAAAATTCATTTAATATACACTCAATGGATGGTAACAGGGCATTTGAGTTAGCTTAAAGATGAGACCCATTTATTCCTAATGAAAACCAACCAGAACAATATGGAAAAAAACAGAATGATTCTGTTATTTCACTATGTAACTGGATCTTATTTTCCATTAAGTGAATCATTCAATAATTATAAAGTCAGAGAAACAGGTAACACTCAGACGTAATCTAAATAGTATGGAAGGACACAATCAAGAGCAGGTGCAGATTTTCCTGGTCTTCACTCAGCTTGAAAATTCTGTCAGGGCTGCCACATCAGTTTAGCATACTCTATCTGAATTTTTGTGTAACATATTGTATTTAAATTGCTTTCAATTTTTTCTCCCCAAGTGTTTGGCAGTAGTAAAACATTTATGTATAGATTAATCTCTACAGTAAAAAGATTTAAGGTTTATTTCTTTGTATCCCCTCTTTATAGTCACAATATATGCCTGCAAGTGTTCCCACTCTCATTAGTTTTTGAATTTTGGATTACTGTAGATAAGTAATTTCTTTTTAGCATAAGTACTGAATTATAAAGTTTTCTGTTCTGTTTATAAAGAAATGGTTTATATAAATTCATTAATGATAATCTGTAGATATCAAATGGGTAAGTGTCTCAAATTAGTTTAGAAAATTGACTAATTGATTTTGTTTAACAAACTTAGTCTTTAAGAAACCAACGGAATAAAAAACTAAAGAGTTTAAAATAACACTAACATTGCTTACAATTAAAGATAAAAGGTTTTGACTTATCTATAGTAGCTTCTAGTTATTCTGATTTTGAATGCCTCTGAAATATTCACTAGTAGTACTCTGTTCAACTATACAGGGAAATTATTTTATTAATTAATTTATTTTATTATTTTATTTGTGATATACAAATGCAAATGCATTAAAAGTGAATATACTATATAAAATAGCACTCCCCTGACCCAATTAGAATGCTTTATTCACAGAATTTTAATGTGAGTATGGACTTGTTAAAGATAGAGGTGTTACCCTAACTGACTTCATGTGCTTCTTATTTACCTTCAAGACTAGTCTTCTAGAGGGCAACAACTTCTCTGCTCTTCCTTCCCTCCCCTCCCCATCTCCCTTTCCTGCCCTCATTCTTTCCCCTCCCTTCTTCCCTTCCCTTTTTTTAAAGACAGGATATCACATTGTAGCCCAGGCTGGCCTGGTAATCATTGTGTGGCCCATCCTGCCCAGAGCTCACAATTTTCCTGCCTCAGCCTTCCAAGTGTTCAGATTACAGTCTTGTACCACTATTCCTAGCTGCAATTCTTCATTTAAAATATTTATGTGATTTCCACACTGGAAAGCTTAAAGTTCATTCATTCATTCATACATTTACTAATTTAACAAATATATCTACAGGTTGCTATATATGAGTTATATATAATAATATAGTGATACATAAAACATTGCGCTCACTATAGCTATGCTAAATATAGTTAAGAAGCATACTAGCAAAATTTATTCATCTTTGATGGCAAATCTCCCTGTGCACATCCTGTTTTAGGGAGCAATTTACTTAATTTTTCTTTTTCCTTGTCAACTCCCCCACACTGTAAGTTCAGTAAGAACAAGGAACTGGATATTCCTTTACTCACAAGCTGTCTGAAATATAGGCACTCAAAAAAGTATTTGTTGAAGAATTTAATGAATGTCATCATTTATGGTCCTTGCTTGGTTAAGTAATTATGATAAAGTAAAGATATTTTTACTTATTTTTACATAGTACTTTAACATGGAGTTTTAATTGATCTATGAAATCAGTTATGCCCCAAAGGAATATCTTTAAGTCTCATTTTAGGAGTCCTTAAAAATGTATACTCATTAATGACCTTAAGAAAAGAACAAAGAAGGCAGTTATTACAGAAAAAAAACTTAATGTAAAAGAGATATCAACTCCTCAGACCTGGGAACATTTGCAAGGGAAAACACTGCAGAAAGTAGTCTCCAACTCCTTTCCATTTAGGGAAACACTCCTACATTTCCCAGTTTGAGAAGATTATTTTCAGTCTGATATTATAACTTTACTATAGGCCTCTGTTGAAACTACATTTTGAATGGAAGGAAAAGGGTGTAAGAAAGGAAATTAAATTTTGATGCAGGTCAAAATTATTCTATAAAATGCAGAACATAGTAAAGGTTTGTAAAAGTAGAGCAGGTGTGTTTCACAAATATCCACTTCCTTTAAGTGATCAGAGACAAGCTGAGACAGATGGCATCTGGGACAGCAGGCCTGAAAATGAGAATAGGCATGTTCAGGGAAGTGCGGCTGGAGGCCAGGCACTCTTCACAAGGGGTATCTGAGAGCCACAAAAAACTTCACCATAAGTCATTATGTCCTTACCTGGTATTATTCTGGATATGTCAAAAACCTCATCCCCAATTCAGAATGTTTTTCTACCACAACTAATATCTCTTATTTATTTTTGTTTTTTTATGTGTGTGAGTGTTTTGCATATATGTATGTAAGAGCACCACTTGTGTGCAGTGCTCAAGGAGGTCAGAAAAGGTGTCAGATTCCCTAGAACTGGAATTATCCATGGTTGTTAGCCATCATGTGTGAACTAGAAACTGAACCCGGGTCCTCTGCCAGAGCATCCAGGGCTCTTAACCAATGCCTTGGAGCCATCTTGCCAGAACAATTTAAAACATGCTCAGAAATGTCCTTTCTCAGCCAGGCATGGTGTGCATGCCTTTAATCCCAGCACTTGGGAGGCAGAGGCAGTTGGATCTCTGTGAGATCAAGGCCAGCTAT